CCCTGAAATTGTTTATGATGCAAATATGTTTAAAAGCACGGCATTGCCTCCTCTGGGAAAAGAAGCTTAAAATTGAAGTCTAATGATAACAAATGATTGTTAATGAGTTGTCTAAACATAATAGATGGAAAGAATTAAAAGCCTAGAATAAACAGGGTTTCATTAATGCACAATAAAGAAACAACACAAATTTCATATCTTGGAGTAAAATGGGCCCTTGTGATCTTTCAGGGAGCAGGGGGCACTGAGCTGGGGAGCGTGGGTCAGGGGCTGGGAGGGATGGTGGATGCTGGCTGGGCTCCTTGCTCTCCTTGCTGCAGGAGGACGGAGCAGCTTTGCTGCAGCTGCTTGAGGCTCCACTTCTCCACAGCTTATGCACAGGAGGAATTCACCCTTCCACCAGTGCTCTTCTGGTGCTTGCTCAGATGTCCCACTTGAGCACCTCTGAGTGCTGTCAGTGCTCAGAGATGGAGACGTGTTCTGTTTGGAGGTGTTTAAGGCCAGGGACTGACTAACCCTGGCACTGGAAACCTCCATGGCTGCAGTTCAGGCAGCCCACACAGCCCTTCCTGTAAAAGCCTTACAACAGCAAATCTCAGTTTCAGGGTCCACAGGATCGCTGGGGACCTTAGGCTATTCCTAAGTAACTCTGTGAAAGTTACTAAGCAAGGCAAGCTCAAACCAGCTGTACAACAATCTACAGATTGTATTTTTTTAAGCCCTTCAGAGACTAATTTTTTTTTAAGAGCCCACAGATACAGTGAAAATCACTGCCCTAGAAAACTGTGCTACTGAGAATGTGAAATTCTGCAGAGATCTTACAAATGGTTCATCAGAGTGTTAGATGCCAAAAGCATGCAGCATATTTCATCTCAGTGTGTGTCAGATGGCGTATAGTGGATAGGTTTTAGACCAAGATTTTATTAAGGACGTGTGAAGAGATGATCAATAATTCCTTGGTGGGTTTGTTTCCTAGACTGTCTGCATTTGACATAGTGACATTATTTTTTCTATTTGTGTGTGGTAGGACACTTTGAGATTTCCAAGTTGTTTTCAGGCTCTAGAGCAGACCCACAGCTTCAGATTTCATTTAAAAACATCCTCTAGACATGAGCAATATTCTGCAAGCCACTACTGTGGTCTGGGAGGGTTTAGTCTTTCGAATTTTTTGTTGAAAGGAAATGTGGGGCAATAGAGGAAAAACTGAAAGATGTGACAAAAAGCCTGTTAAGAATTCCTCAGAAAATACTGCTTTTTCTTTTTTTCTTCTTTTTTAAGGAGAGTCCTTTTTTTCCTAGGGAAAAAAAATCTTACCAAAAAAGTCTATTTTCTGTTTGTTGGCCTGGAGATCTTGTTTGCGTTTCAGGAAGGATTGCATGCTCAGCGGAGTGTGTGTGAGAGCAGGAGTTTTCGGTGTGGTGACGTGTCTGTGTTTCGGAGTGTGTCCATGTCCCAGTATAATGTACTTGTCTTTATTGATGCGCCTTATGATGGATGGATTGCAGAGCTGGCAGGTTCTTCCTGAGCGTTTGTAAAGCTCCACAGGGCTCGGTGCTACAGGGTCCCAGTCCTGACAGAAGCCCAGAAACATCCCTGCCATTCAGCCAGGGCCTGCTCCTGCCCCCTTTATTCCTAACGATTTGTACTGTCCCTGTGACTGGTTTGCCTGAAACTTCTGGGGATACTGGGGAACACAAGCACAGAGCAAACAAGGCTTGAAAAATCCAGACAAGAATCGGAGCTGTGCAGGGCTAGAGCTTGGCAGTGTTTCCCAATGTAAAACGTCTTTTTCAGTGACACGGGGTGACTTTTTCTTGGTGAGGGGAGTCCAGATTTTTTATCAAAGGACACAATTTGGAATTTTCTGTTGAAGGTAGAAAGGATCAACAGTTCAATATGGATTTAGGATTTCTTTGAGGGATGGCCTAGAAAACAATATCCCTTTTCCTGTCTCCAAATCAATGAAAATCAAAGTCAGAATTGAAATGATCATCTTTACTGATAATTATCACTACTGTTGTTATTCTTTTGTTAGTACCATTAATACAACTACCTGCTTGTGTGCTTAGGCTTAATGTAGCACGGCCTGTCTTTCCAAGGGTGTGCGGTCATACCACTGGGGCATGTGAGTACTTGGGGTCCTGCTGTACACGTGGTCTTGTCAGTGCTAAATACAGCTGTGCAGAGGTACTGAAAGAGGTAGTGCAGAGCTTGAGCTGTGTTTGAGCTCTGTACATGGTCCCATGTAGTTGGTAGTCCATAGCAGAGTGGAGGCCTGAAAGGTGGCAGTGTCTTTCTAGAAAAGCAAAAGAAGAGAGAAGTCTTCCAAATGCTTCTTGCCTTGCAGAATGGCATCGGCACACACACTGGAGGTTCATAGCCGAGCCTCCTGGAACCACAATATTTTCAAGAAAAACTTGTTTCGTATGCATCCGGCTCCTCAAACAGATCGATCAGGTAAAATTTTAGTTTGATTAAATTAAATCATATTCAAGTATATATTGCAAATGTAACCTCAAGGCCCAGTTTGGGGAGCCTGATGCCTAGCATCGTGGACAGGCAAAGTCCACACCATGGTGACTGTGCAGGAGGGTGTGATCCCACTGGGATGACCATGCTTATGGAGCTTGCAGCCACAGCACTAAACCCTGCTGGCTGGCAGTGCACGACACACCTGAGGTGTCCACGCTGCTGTGTGTTAATCAGGCCGGGGGAGTTTGTCTCCCTGGGTATGCCCACGTCACATTGAAGCGGTGTGGTGCAAGCAGAGCTGCTGGTTTAGCAGTTGGCCTGCAGGTCTGGAAGAAGTATGCATGCCGGTCTCCCTGGCTGCAGCTGCAACCCCATGGAAAGTTATAAGGCTCTGTTAGGCAGCGCTGGCCCTGTCAGTAAATCATTGCATAGTGCAGGCTTCTTTTTCACCCTGCTTTGGACTCCATAGAGAGTCAGACAGACTGTGCTGAGCTGGTCCCATCTGCACCCAACCTGGACAGCAGCTTTATCTTGCCTTGTAAAACTGCAGAGCTCTGTGACAAAAGAGTTAATCTCTGCCTTTGTTTCTCTTCCTCTCTCTCTTCTCTCTTGCAGCGGGACTGAAAGGCAAGATGAGAGCAGATCCATCAGTGTCAGCTGCTTTCAGTACATCAGCACTTTTGGGGGGTTTATTGGGGACTAGCCCATCAGCAGTGCTTCCAAACTGCAAGCGCCCTGCAGGCAGCCCCCTCCTCCTGCAAGCAGCCAGGCTGCCTGGGGGGGCAGCGCCAGGCCCCCCCGTGCCACTGGCCAGGGGCTGGGTGATAAATGACTGCGTGAGCCATCGTGGTGGCTAGCGAAGTCCGGAGGGTTGGCCAGCGCCAAGCTCCTGGGGAGGCAGCAGTGGAACCGCATTAATTTCTGGGCGTGCGTCCATGTGTGTCTGTGTGTCTGAAATAATGCACTTGACACACACATGCTTCACTTCCAAAACAGAGTAACACAGAAGAGGGGTGGAAGAGAAAGGGAGGAGAAAAAAAACAAAACCCAAACCCAATCTGATTGGCAGGTTAATGAAGCAGCTCATAAGAGCGATGTATATGATAACCATAGAAACCGCCTGTAAGTACTCAATCGCTTTACACATACAGACACACTTCCATGCCTAGCTCTGTGTGTACGCGTTTACCTATAGATGAAATGTGCGTGTCTGTGTAGATGCATATCTCAAAGATGCAGGAACGCAACATCAGTGCTTTTCAGTGAAACCAAAGAGTAAATGGGAAACTGAAAAAATTAAGCTCCGTTAGCCTGGCAGCATTGTTTGTCCTCTGCCTTTTATTTCACTTCTGGGGTTGGAAGTCTTCCAAAGAAGTATGGGGAGTTTGGAGCACACATCTCACTGACTTGTATTCGTAAGGCCTTTTGGTATTCTTGAAAACTACACCTGTGTTTCCTGACCACAGGTCTCAGGCAGAGCAGCCTCAGCCCATCCACACGAGGCTGGGAAGTTGCAGTTGTGTGGAGAAAGTGGAGCTGGAGCTTGAACCCAGATCTAATCCTGTGTTTTGACTAATTCCTCATCACATTGGTATGTCACCCTTTGAAAAGATAGATGTATCTTTTACTAGGCAGATATTTGGACGTCTTTGTTTGCCTCTGTATTGTATATATCCGTGGGAATTTCCCCATGTACTCTGGACTGGGGCAATGACTTACACAACAATCCTTTCTTTTGTGGAACCTATTAGCAAATATAAATAGCGACATACTGAGCTCTTGTGGATGGGCAACAACCCCAGGAACTGAAAAAACAAGTTCAGCATGACTAAGGACCTTTAGCTTTTCATTTCATGACTCTGCTCTTACTTGTAAGCCTCAATGTTACAGTAAGATATTTCCTCTGAGTTCTTTTCCTAGCTTGTCTTAGGGAAAAAGAGAAGATTAAGAGGTTTCTCATACGCACAAAGGAGTGTTAAAGTTGCCAGCTCCTAGTAAATGCCGTGTGGTATTTCCAAGTATCATCATTGTGGATGAAAACTTCAGGGATCCAAGTGCGCTGAAAAGGATCAGAACCAGAAGCCTGATAGACAGAGCGCAACCTACACAACAGAACCATGGCTTTGATACTGAAGTTTGATTCAGATTTAAATTTTTGAGAAAGTCCTCAGCAAATTCCTCTCTGAGAGTACACAAATAAGTTTCTGGCCTCAGGACTTCTGGAAAGAGTTGTGTCAGTTATTTTCTCCCCTGATGTGAACTCTGAGATGAAAGCGGTTAAGAGGTGGGATGTGTCACATGCAGCACCAGGCAAGGAAGATAGATACATGTGTGTCTCTTGGGCAATTTGCAAGTTGCCATACATATGTAACCATACATACTTACACTTTTGCTACAGCACCAAGGGATCCATTTATTAGAAGGCAACTAGTGTTGTCTTGGTCTAGGTCTTGAGCAGAGGTCTCGATGAGCTTGTGATCAGCAGAGCTTACAGGCAAAATGGTCAAATATTTCTGTTAATCTTGCAGCTGCAGAGCAGAAATGCCATGTTCCTGATCATATGGAAAATGGAAAGAGGAGCTGGGAATGGGACTTGGATCTCCAGCATGGTAAGCCTGGTTTTTCTGTTTCTGTCTATGTTCATCATGCTAAAGCAACACTGGCTGCATGTTGCCCATTTTCATTCTGGTGAGAACACCTGTTTTCTTTCAATTTCTGTGCTCCTATTCCCATGTGTCTTTAGCAAAGTCATCTGAATTTGTATCTCTGTTGCAAGTGAGTTATTTGGCCTGTGTTGTGTGTTCCTGCCCCGTCATGAGAAACAGCAGTTTGTCCAAGGAGGCTCTTGTGGCCTTTTTTTTTGCATTCAGATAGTCAGTGTCAGTGAATGCTCAAGAAGAAGCCTGTCTTTTTAGAACATGAAAATTTATTCCTAACTATAGCTGTGTTTGTCACAATTATTTGTGTAAATAGGCACACTCAAAACAATTTAACCACAGATCTGATTTGCAGCTTGTTGAAACTGCTGGGAAAATGCACGTGGGCTTCCTGTGTTCCTAGAATGGGATCTTCCAAGCACGCAGCTCTCCCTGGAGAGTGGTGCTAGCAGATGAGTCTGAGGAGCAAGCCACTTTGAAGGAAAAGGTAGATGCAAATGGTTTTGACAGCACTGTCCAGCCCCCACAACACTACTTACTCCTGTCATTTAGGTATTAGAGACCATGTGGGTTCAGTGGCCAGACCTTGTTAATGGGGAACAGAGGTTAGTGGAAATGAATGCCTCTGAGTTGTGGCTGGGAAGTCACAACGGGTTTGCTGTGTGTCTGTGCTAAGAAAAAAATCAGTGTATATACTGAGATTGTCCAGGGTGGAATGTTCTGCCGTTAGAAGTTTGGATTTATTGTAGCCAGCCAAACTGTTTTTCCTCCCTCTGACCTCCCCCTGCTGGCTCTGGCTCTCAGCTTGCTGCTTGCTGTTTTCCAGTACCCCAGCTGGAGTCTGGGGAGTTGCCGGCTAAATGTCCCCCTGCCTTTTGTTTCTGCTAGTGGTAGACAGAATTTGGGGAAAATGCCTTTTACACAGAAATGAATAGATGTTTATCTTAGTCTTTAGGGACATCATAGCTCTGTAACTGGGAATCCTGTGGCTTTGGGTGCAATTTGAATCACCGTGAACACTGTTCTGCCTAGCATTCCCTGTCATTCTCTACACTCCCCTCATTCTCTGTTCCTCAGGCTTAGGGTGTGTAGTTGTCCTCCACAAGCATTTTAACTTCTCTTTGTAAGATGGAAGAGAACAAACTGACTTAAGCCAGGCTGGAAGGAGATTGGGGCTGATAGAAGTTCAAGCTGTAGCCTAGGAAAGTGTCCTTGCAGCAAGGACCTGCCAGGCCATTCTCCATCAGGAAGGACACCATCAGGTTTGATGCCGTTTGTGCAATTCCCTCTTCTCCTGGCACTGGCGCGGTGGCAAGTGCTGAGGGGCAAATCATTTGATACAAGAGCAGTAGGTTGAGGGAGGGGAGAAAACGAGGTCTCTGCCTTTGATGGTAAGGAGAGGGCTGCACACAGCAGCTCGGCCACCCAGGCCAGCCAGCCAGCCCCGGGAGGCGTCCCAGTCAGCCTAGCAAGCTCAGCTTTGCTGTCGCCAGCACTGCTGAGAGCAGAAGTTGGGGATGGGTGAATCCAGATATCCGGGTTGCTTGGGTATTGGCTGGAAATGTTTCTCCATATCCGGGTGGCTGCCTTTGCATGATATCCATGTTCATCGGAAAATGAATTATTCCATCCACCAAGCTCCCTGAGCAGGGAGGGTTACCCCCCAGTACCTGGAGCTCCTCCTGGGAGTGGTGTGGGTGCAGGAGCATGTGTGTCTGCACGCCTGCTAACTGAGGGTGTGTTGTGGACATAGATGTGCACGGACAGCAGGAGATTGTGCGTGACTGCAGACACAGAGAAGGAACTGCACAAGTGATGCAGAGGTCAGGAAGACTCCTTGCTCTGTGTGTGTGTGAGAGAGAGGATGCCCTTGGGGATGCTGAGTGGCTTTGTCTGCACTTCCCTCCGGGTGAGGTGAGCTGTGTGCAGGGAGCAGAGGCTGCAGGGTAGGTGACAAGGCATTCCTTGTCTTTGCCTTTATGTGTCTGAGGAGCATACAGATGGCCCAGACTGTGCGTCGCTGCTTTTTAGATCTGATTTTAGAATGGTTGATGTGGGATGCAAGCCAAATTTGCCCATGGTTTCCTGTGTGCTTGTGCTTAGAGGTGGGAAAAGTTCACGTGCATAGACAGAGTGCTGAAAAGCTGCGTGTGTGGTGGAGGATCTGGTGTCAGCTGGCATCATTATTAGTTTGGATTCATTTGACACTGACTGTGGCCCTTCTCAACACAGCTCCAATTCTTGTCTTACTGATTTTGCAGCTGACCGACCCCATGCGTATCGCTGTGTAACTTACACCAGCAAGTGAGCAGAATAAGGTCTTGTGATGTTTAAAAATAAAACCTTTACACCCCTGCCTGACAGCTTTCTTGAGGTTCTTTAAGTCACAAGAGGTCGTATCACCCACAGGGCAGTATGGTCTGTATATGCACCGGGGTTGGGGTTTTCCAGCTACAGCAGCAAGGAGTGATCTCTCCTGGAAAGCAAAACTACTTAATTGTGGCTGCTCTGAGAGCAGCCTGGTTGGCTGCTAGGCAGCGCAGTGCCGAGTCTCAGGCTCAGGGTATTCTTGGAAATTTGTGTTATTAATTGAAACCTTATTAATGGCAAACACAGGATGACATTTTACATGGCTTAGTTATGTTCTGTGAGTCGTTGGTACAATGCAGCCTCAGCCACGAGGCAGGGAAGCTCCTGCTGTAACTGATAACAGAGGCAATAACAGCTCCGTTCCCACTAACTGGTCCTGCGGTGACAGGGACAGCCCCTGCAAATCATCATCTGATCATCATCTCTCTGGTGGCCACTCTGACTGGGGTTAAGGGAAGTCTCAGAGGAAAGCGGAGTGGTGGTCTGTTACCAGTGGGCTTCAGAACTTTGGCTTCTCCAAATGTCAGAAATGCCCTTAGAAATAAAAGGGCCTTGAGGTGAGGGAAGTGTTGCCATCACACTGGAATTCAGTAGCCCCAAGTTTGGGGCAGATGTGATGCTGCTCTTCATACCGAAACTTCGGGTGCTGGGCAATGGCTGCGTTCTCTAGAGCAATGCTTGGGTCCCATTCTTCCACGTTTGAGACATGGGTCAAGTCCAGGTCTGGTATTTATGGTAGTGGGGGAAGTATGTGTGTTTGGGAGAGAATTGACTAGTGCTCATAATAACCTGCAAAAGTCCTTTTCCTCAGCCCATCTCCATAGATGGGCAGTGCCATATATCTAAAAATTGAAATGAAATTCCCGTGGAAACAAGAACAGACTTAGATCCTTAATATTTTTTGAACAAAGTGGCATTCTCCAGTCATTGTATAGCTATGGCTGCTGTGGTCCTGCCTAGTCCATGAAGGCTCCATCTTCAAGCAGATTTCGGAAGGCCACTGACCAACAGTTTTTCTCCTTTCTTATGGCTGTAAGCATAGGCTAAGCAGGTATACTGCTTAGAAGAGGCACTCCTGTAAGCCACAGCTGTGAACCTGCAGCCTCTTTTGTCTGGGGAGAAACACAAGGCAGTACAATAACCCAAAACATCCCCATTGATCCTCCCAGATCCTTCTTCCCTGCAGCTGTGCGTGCGTCCTCTTCTCTGCTAGAACTCCCTTGGTCTCCTCTCACACAAGGAAAAGTCCAGTTGTGGGTGCCAGCTGGGCTGTTCCTTGTTTGTGACAGCCAGGAGGGGCTTCTGGAGCTAAATATCTTCACAGACTGATGGGAACTTGCTTTGAGGACCTCCACAGCTCTGCCTCTCTACAGATCTGTGGGGACACACATGGTTTGTCACTTATATCCAGTGGTGCAGTCCCACTCCACAACTATCAGCTTCCTCAGTGGCTGGAGCTGGGTACTAGTAAGTCTTCTTTGCAACAGCTGAGAGCTGTATGGGGGTATGCAGGCAGCAGAGCTCCTCTGCACTCCCTTGTCCAGCAGCAGAATTATTCCCACAAAGGCACTGCAGGCACCGGGAGGAAATTATAGGCCAAGCACTTAAACTCTTCCACCCTGGTTTAGCCAGAGCCCCACAGCTGTGGATTGTCTGATGCCAGCAAAATAAACCAGATGGATGACACGGATGGAGACAGGCCAGGCTGGGATGGAAAGCACAGAGTGCCCTCCTGACTTGACGGGCTTCTGTAAGATGGAGTAGCACAGGCTGAAAAGAGCCCTCAGCTGCAAAGCTCCCCCTGTTCAAGTGGCAGAAAATTGGATCTACTGTTTTTTGCAGGGTTTCAGCTGGTGGGATCTCCTCTTACGCTGCAGGAAGAGGGATGGTGCTCTGGGTACCTGCAGGAAGATGGGATGCTCCCAGGCTCTGTGGGAAGGAAGAATCCAGATCTGCAGCTGTAAAGAGCAGTGGGCTTGGGAAGAAAAATCTAGCAGTCGCAGTGAGATGTATCATAGACCGTAAACATGCTAGAGGGTATGGCTGCAGTTGCCAGTTTTGGTTAGCAGGTTGCAGGAAGATGGAGCCCACCCAGTCTGCAAAGGACAGTAACGGGCCAGTGCTGCTGGGCAACATCTGCTGCTTTTGCAAGAGGCTGGTCTTGGGTGTTCCTCCAGCACTTTGTGACCATAGTTTGTTACCTGGGTGATGACAGTGCCTAAAATGCAGAATAGACTCTCGCTGTGCTAGGTGCTATATATACAAGCCTAAGGAAATTCATGTCTAAAAAGAACTTTCTCCCACGATTAACAGGACACTGCTTTGTGGATGGGTTATCACAAAAGACTGAGGAAAACACAAATGCTTCAGCCCACCTCCTGTCCAGGGTTCCCAGAGCGCTTCAAAGCCCCAGGTGAGACAACCTGCCATTGTCTCTGCATCTTCCTACTAGCTTTCTATGGCACCCAAGCTTGGTGTTCTCTAATAACAAGTCATCTAAATGTCTCATTGATCTCTTGAGCTGGGAGGCTACAAAGGGCCGTGGGACTTTCTATGGAGAGAGGACTCAGCTGCAGAGAGACATGGAGTCCATATTGGTGCTGAGAACAGAACTTCACTCTGTCCTAGTCTTATGCCTTAGCTCCATGTTTGACTTGCTTTCCAAAAGTCTGTCTGGGATGTTTTGAAAGGTAGGAGCAGCGTGTCCAGCACTAGAATATGCCTACAGGATGCTTTGGGGTACTTTGAGTAGGGGTGTCCAGCTTTATTGGGTGATGGGTCTTTCCACCATGAAACACAAGTTGCTGGAGCTCATCTCGAAATAAATGCTTGAACGTCAGCTCAGTGCCTCTTCAAGCCAGGCCAAGCTGCTTGCAAGTCTGTTTTGGAAGGGTTTACTGGACACTCCCCTCAGCGTGCTGGAAAATCAGCCCTGCCGGTAACAGGTACTGTCCAGACCCATTACACTGTGTTTATGGGGTTCAGTGTGGAGGGGTGGATCCAGGATGTGCTTGCCAGGCTGTTTATGGCTGTGGGGGAGTGTGCCCTACCTAGGTGTGTTCCCCACCTCTGCCATTTGTCCTTTTTCTCTATCCTGCCGTCCCCGAAGCAGCCCGGATTGGTTATAGCCCACATGTTATAGTGGCCAACCTGCAAAGAGAGAGCCAGAAAAAGTTAATGTGGAGTTCTGGTCTACTCCCAGGATGCATTTGGGCTGCAGCCCATAATGATATGTATAATTGCGAAGGCCTGCCAAAAAAAGCAGGCTGGATTTAATTGAGTCAACACACTGCTATTAATAATAAAATGGCAGAGACTTTGCTATTAATCACTTGTGCTGGCTTTATCACAGGCAGTCTCGGCTATCTGGCTACCAAACAAGACCTTTAAAAAAAATGGTGCAGTGGAAAACTTACTAGTGGGAATACACCTGCTAACAAAACAGACCTTGTAAACAAAATGTTCCTTGCAGAAGGAGGTACTTTCTGAAGGGACGGGCTCTTCGGGAGGCAAATGGGGAGTATCTCAAGGTATAGGAGCAGGTATAGGAACAGATCAGATGGAGGATGCACTTGGCAAATGGTGTATCTTTGGAAAAGGTTATGCTTGATAAAGGACTTTGTTTGGGGTGGGAACTCAGGGAGAAATGAAATCTCCAAAGAGAGAAATGTAATTGCTGCAGGAATATAAAACAGCCCAGGGAGGAATGCATCTGTTACTAGGAAATGGCAAACACTGTATCCGCTGAGGTACTGAACAAAAAGGGAAATGCAAAATAAATAACATGCCTGACACCTAAATTGCAGCCCTGCCTGTGGAGGGCTGGATAAACCGTGGTGTGTTGTGGTGGCTGGCTGGACACGGAGCTCTGCAGCCCAGAGTGCACTCTGCCAGCACTGCACGCAGCAGCGTTGGGGCAGGAGGGTCTGGTCTGCCACTGAGGCCCAGAAATGCCCTCCTTCTGGGACTTGCCTTGGCCATGCACTGGGGAGGAGGAAGGACTTGGATGGGGCTCCAGCCCTTTCCATGCGTGCATCGCCTGCTCGTGTTCCCCGTGGCCCTTGACGGGCTGCACCCCAGTGCCTGGGAGCAAGCCATGGGCTGGCACCGCTTCCTCGCGGCTGTGCAGTAAGAGCACGCTGCAGTTTTAAAAGCCCTCCCCCAGCTGAGGTTTTTATTGTAGCAAACGTGGCAGTGGCATTCTTTGCTTTTGCTTCTGAGTAGAGCTGCTTGCCATGATTGTGTCTGGGAAGGGACCATGAAGCAAAAGGGTCTAAAATGCAGGAGGAGGGGAAGGGGTTCGAAAATGGTGCATCTGAACAGGGATGTGATGTGTTTATAGGCAGAGCCAAAGAATGGAGAGCAGGTAGAAAACCAAACAAACCAGGTGCCATTATATGGCTTTGAGCGGGGCTTAAAAAATTAAGACAGGGAAAGATTTTGTTAGCAGACACTTGGACGGGGAGGACTCCTGCCTTCCACAGCTGAGAATGCCAAAGGAATGGATCTTCTCTTGCAAGTTTGCAGGCACAAAGGGATACATTTTCTGTGCACCAATGCAAAAAAAAAAAAAAATATCTATATGCATCTTGCACCAAATAGTCAAACAAAATAAATCATTTAACAGGCTTAAAGGCCTTTTTCTTTCTGCTATGATTTAAATAAGGTTTGTAAATGAGTGCAAGCATTATCCATCAGGAAGAAGGAGAAAAAAGAAAAGAGAGAGAGCAAGAACAAAATCCCAGAAAAAAAATTATCCACTTCCTGCTGTTTTCCTTTCCTCCCCATAAAGTGAGTGTCTTATCCTCAGAGAAATTCACTTCATTGTTAGAAATAGCCGAAATTGGCTTGCAACTAGTAAAGATGCCAAGAATTTGCACCTTGCTCTGTGACCTAAAGCAAAAATGACATGAACATTGACAAATTTGACAAGGAAATTTGTGCAAAAAACAACTTCTATTTGGCTAGCCAAGCAGCAAATATGTCGGATGATATGCTTTATTAAGCAATCCATTTTTCAGCAATAGCTGCACCATCTGCAAAGGTTAGTGTGCATCAGGCTTTCCACAGAATTTCATCTGCGTCTGCAGCTAGGTGCAACACACGACCACATTTTTCATGTACATACAATTTTGGATGCAAATAGAATACTTGATGAAAGAGGTGACCTTCCGGACTGACTTCCCCCATGCAGTAAAGTCACAGGCACAGAAGCAGCTGAGAGAAACATATCTCTGCCTGGAGGTAGGGGGGGAGCCGGGGAGAGGGAGGAGAAGGAAAGGGAGAAATAAAAAGAGGAGAAAACTTCAAGGAAGAGTGTTTCCCCAATAAATGCTTTGGCATATCACAAAGCTGAGACTCCACTTGTTCAAAGGGGTACCGAGACTGTTGGGTAGCTGCAGTTCCCTTCTGGATGGTGTCCATTTCTCAGCCCTCTAGTTTTTGTCATGTTATGTTGTGTAGTTCCTGCTGCTATGATATCTAAGCATCCTTGGCTTTTCTCCTTTACTTTTGTTGGTCCCTCTGTCACGTTTTGCATTCCAGACTTGTCATCTCATTTCCTCTCTTTCAACGATGGTCCCTGCCTAGGGCTGCTGGATCTCCTTCCAAACATCCTTGGCTCTACAGGCAAGGAGAGGAAGAATTGCGTTCAAATACTGGTTGGATGTATGCATTTTCTGCCTTTATTTTTATTTTTATTTTTTTTGAGGCATGGTGGTCCTGCCTTTGTATTTTCCTGTATTGTTTTCTACTGGATACAGTCCTTTCATGTCCTGCCTGCCCTACATTAGGTGGAATCAGCTCTGGTCCCCAGTCTTCTTCCCCAAGTGTATGCTGTACACATGGCTCCCTACGCCTCATTGATGGTTGCTGGTTATAAATTCATGTTCTCAATCCCTACTCCGCTTAGCTGAAGTTGGATGCCATCCCAGTGCCTTGCAACTGTCCCTGGTCCAGTGGAAAGTTTAATCTGCCAGTTCGTGGCGTGTCGTCCTATGGGGAGAGTTCAGTTCAGTGCAGCTCCGCACTGCACAGAGAGAAGCTCATTAGCAGGACATGGTAGTGTCTGATGACACTGTGGTCCAAGAAGGCCTCATTAGGCACAAAATGTTTTCTGCGGCTCTCTGAGATTTCCTGGTAACTTAAGGAATTCAGACATAGTTACCACCGGGGCACAGATGAAATGGGGAGCAAAGATGCCCTCTCCGAGGGCCATCCCCCATCTGTGCCTTTTGGAGGAGCAGATACTGGATGAGGCCTTTGACTCCTTTTAAGCAGCTTTGGATCTTCGCTACAGAGACGCAGATGGGACTGGATGGGTCTGGCAGGCTCACTGTCCCCTGGTTGGCTGCTAAGTGGTGTTAAGTGATGAATGTTAAACTTAACAAGGGGACTCTCAGATTTACGTAAGGGTTTTACTGCCTGCCAGGTATGAATGATGGAGCAGCTTTGATCTTTAGGGGGATCGGTACTGGAAGTGATTTAAACTAAAGTTAATAAAACTGCTTAAAACTGTACTCTGCAGTCCCACAGGCTGAAGAAGCCCTAGTGGTCACTTGACTGCTCTAAGTAAAAATTGTTCACATTTATGAGGGAGACCAAATCCCACTGGTGTTAACTGTGTTTCCAGCTGAATAATAAATGGCATCTTCCAAGAGTTCTACACGTCCTTCCTTACGTTCGCTGCAGATCCCATCGCCTGCTGGAGCCCCCAAGCTTTTATCCACAGATGCAAAAAATGGTAGGCTTGGTATTTCCACGGGGTTTTCGCATTCTCTGTCCACTTCATAATCCCTAAACCAGGTCTGTTCCCTTTGACATTTTGTAGCATGACACAAGCTAATGCTGGTGCTTTTTTATTTTGCTGCTATTGGGACTCTTGGTATGTTTTATCTTTGGTATTTGCTGGCCAGCACTGACAGGTAAATGTCATAAACATTAAAATTTCATTGGCTTCATGGTGGGCTTTGCCACCAATGACCTTTAGAAAGAGGACATCATTAAAGCATGTTTACAGTTTTTATGAGTGGTCCCATAATGTCTTCCCCATCCCCATACAACCTTATTGAGTTCCCCACAAAGGTGAAAATTCTCATTTGTAATGGACAGTCTGTTTTCCATCTCCCAGGCACCTCAGCTGTCCCCTCCAGTATAACCACAGGTATTTCCATCGGGCATTTCTGTAATGTCCTGAGATGAAGCTGTGTGAGCTGCAGTGGGCAGCTGTGTACCCTGTACTGATTCAGGTGGAGAAGTGTTTTTCTTGTAGCTATTAGAGAAGTTGCTGGGCTTTACCAACACCCCTGTATCAGCCCAGCTCATTAGGTTTACAAGCAAGACCAAATTCCATCACTTAACAGTGTTCACAGCCATTGTACAAACACTTCTTCCAGAGTCCTGCGAGGCCATCCTACATGCCAGGGGTTCATACCATCACCCCGAGTCACCAGACACACGAAAACAGAAGACACGCTGCTATTGCCATAGGGTTTTCTAATTCCCCTGCTATTTCCTAGAAACCCTTAAACAGCTACCAGAATACCTTCTGTCTGCTCGATAACAGAACAAGTAGCTTTTGTGGACCTCTCTAGAAATCAGTGATTGGCAGCCACTGAAATTGAATTAGCAGTAACTCACCACTGGTAGACGAACACTTTTGTTTATTTATTTATTTATTTATTTATTTTATTTCAGCCCAGTGCGCTGTTATTCATGGAAGTCCTCAGCACGATGATTTGATGAGGCCATGATCTTGGGGAGATACCAAATGAGGTGGGCTGTTTCAGATGGATTACACAGACATCCCAAATTGTAAAGGTACAGTCAAGTCTGGGGTGGGTTTTGCTCTGCAGAGCAACCAGCTGAGAACTACCAGTGCCTGGGAGGAAGTTGCATGAAAATCTTGTTACTTGTACCTTGTTATATAATTACCTCTTGCAGAGTCTGGGTGTTTTTCTGAATTACAGTCACTGCTGGAGGCAGGTTATGGGCTTAGACAGACCACTGGCTGTACAGCCTGGTATTTCCTGCATTCTTATTTCCATGGATCCTCTAACACCCCTGCCTTTGTCACGCTGTTGTGTGGCACTACAAGGATGTTGCATGTCTGAGGTTGTTGTGGCATTTCTACAGACAGCTCCGAGTGGTATTTTCAGAGCCCCCTGATATGCTCCTCGCACTCCCGCATTTTCTAAACCCCCTGGGGGCTGAGGGTCATCTCTCACTTTGCATGGCATAAATTGATAATGACACAATGAAATCAGTCATGATGAAATGGCTCCATTTTGATTACAGTGGGAGGGGATTTGGGATCTGTGTTTCTGTTGTGGTGTCTCATGAGCCATCCTTAAACCACAGTGGTGGTTTAAATCTTTTGGCAAAGGTTTCCAACAACTCTCCTATCCCATCTGATAAGCTTGTGGCTAGGTTCAGCAAACTCTGCTTTCAGAGGTTTTTCTACGTGTTTCCTGAGAAATTCTTCATGTTGCGTCTTGCAGAAGCCTGTCTGTTCCCTATGGCTGGATTTCTGTGGGGCTGCGACTGTTGTCACAGCAGTGACTCACACACTAAAAGATATCCTCCTCATCCACCGCTCAGTGTGTCTGAAGCAGCATTTTGGGAAGCATCGCTAGATTTATGGCCATTTGGTTATGGCTTCTAATTTCTGTCTCTCCCTGCCCTGCATCATCTAAGGGCTAGTTTCTGGTCTTGTCCCTTGACACAGATGCTGTGCGTCCCTGGAAATCCAGGACCCTGAGACTTCTTTGAACCCAAGTCCCTGCCCTCAGCTCGTTTCTGCTCCTGGTCTGTTGCCCACACTGCAGTGTGCAGTCAGAGCACTGAAATGCTCAGGCAGGACAAATCAATGGGTGTCTGCTGATTTACGCTGCTGGAGGATGGGGCCCAGGTCGGAGGGAGAGCACAGAACCCCCCAGCAGAGCCTTTTTAAAAGAAACCGCAGGCAGGTATTTCAGCCCGGTTAGCCGGGCGTTCAATTATGGCTTTTGCTACAGAGTAAAACCAGTTTTTCCAAAGGACACCGGTAGCAGCCTCTTAAAAAAGGAGTCGTGGCCCCTCCCCGGTGACCTTTCCTTGTCAAGTGCTACATGCTGTGATGTTCCTACACAATAGGGTACACTCTGGTCTCTGTGTACTTGGCAAAGGAAGAAATGGCTTTTTTAATCTCATTGCATGAATTATTGGCAAAACGTTTGAAGTGGCTCCAAGATTTCTCTCTGACTGACTTGCATTTTCTCAGGAGATTTGTGTAGTTTGGGAGCTTGGAACGTGTAACTGAGTAACTCAGAGAAAGCAGTCGCTACCTCCTGAAAGGCTGCTGTGTCCTTGCAGAAAACCACTTCATCTGCTGCATCAACGTCCCCTGGCAGAGGACGAGGCTTGCTGGGCGTGACACCCTGTGTCCCCCTGGAGGATACCTGCCCCTCCTGCTGCCCAGGGGCAGTGCTGCTGTAGACACAGCTGTGACGTCCCCCGTGGGCACAGGAGCAGGGCTGTACCGTGCCAGGTCCTGGGCAAACACAAGCATGAGCCAAGGCTCGCCCTGGGCAGCCTGCTGTCTGCGGGGCTGGGGCATGGGAACACCGCTGGCAGCACGGGGTCACGTATCAAGGAGTTGCCAGAGCTGGGTCTGAGAGAGACCTCTGCTCCTGCCACTGCTGCTCTGAGGTGTGGGGCGGCCGCCCTGTGTGGCTGGCCAGCCCCTCTCCTTGCTTCATCTCCACCCTGCTGGGGCTCTGCCGCGGGGCAGGTGTTGGTCCCAGGGGCCTGGTGCAGAACATCTCCATCCCCCTTGCTGGAGCATCCCTCTGGCTGCCCACAGGCCACGGACACAGGCGGGGTGTCACCTCCCATGGACGGCCACCTCCCCTCCTTCAGTCCAGGGCTTCTTTTTGCGAGATCACAGCAGAGGGAGCGTGCCAGAACCTGCCAGAGACTGACGGGGAGTGACAGAGCCTGAAACTGTCTGGCAGATTGTTTGT